AATTCAATTACTTTAAAAAAAAATTCATGAAAGTATTTCATTTTTTCTTATCTTTATAAAAAATTATTTTCAAAATTTTTTAATTAAAATTATTAAAAAAAACTCCATTATTTAAAAAAAAATTGAAAGAAATTCTTCAAAAGAATTTAATTAAGATTATCAAAAATTTTAATAAAATCCTTGTCAAGAATTCAATTATTTTCACAAATAATAAAATTCTTCGGAGAAATTCAATTATTCTCAAATTTTTTGATAAAATTCTTTGCAAAAATTCAATGATTTTCAATAGATTAATTTTAAAATTGAAAAAGATATTTGAAAAGAAAAATTATTAACTATTATTCTCAATATTGCAATAATGTTAACATTAAATTATAGACACATACCTTTCGAGTAAATGATGATTATTAAATTTAAAATTCCGATACTTATATGACAATTATAAATATTATAATTTTGGTGAAATCATGCGCTCCTAAATTTTATAAACCTAACCGTTGAAAAGTTTTACATTTAAAAAAAAAATAAAAAATGACAATAACCCACAAAAATTAATTTTCAAAACAAACAAATGAATGCAAATAATTAATGTATTAATTTATAACTCCATAGTAAATAATTAAAATAAATATTCAAATAAATCTTTATTTAAATTTTATATACCTACATATATTATATATGCAACCAAAAATTGATTTTTTTAAACTAAATTATTATTTTCAAAAACTTTTATTGCGAGGAAAATTTTTATTGCTTTCATTTCATCTCCTCGAAGATATAACGAACCGTATAATAAATAATGACATTGTAAAAAGTGACCTGCACTTTAAAGAGTTATCTATATATAAGAAATATTAAGAGAAGTTTTTCGCGATAGTAAAACAATCATGAGTATAAAAATAATGAAAAATGGAGATGTATTTTGTATATTGCAAGAAAGAGTTTTATGTAATCGTTCCCTAGAGACTTAATGGTTAACAATATAATACACAATACTTTTCAGATAAAACAATAAAGGGAATTCTTGACTATTCAGGAGAATACTACGGTTACATTTAACGTATCATATATTGTCAATCATTGCAATGCTATAGCAACAATTTATGTGACAAGTTATGGTTGTTATGCGGTTTAAAGTTCCAAGTTTATGACCTTTGGTTTATTGTTCGGTTGAATGCGACCTCAAGATATCCGCAACAGAATCTCTACCTAACAATAGAGGAACTATCCAGTCAGGACTAAAATCTTATTTCAATATAAATTTGAAAATGGATTTTACCGAATTTTTTATTTCTTTGTAGGTTATTCATTTTATTTACTTATTTATTTATTATTTATCAGTTAGAAAAAAAGGAAACTTGAGTTTTTATTTTGTAAATTTAAAAAAAAATAAGTAGCTCAAAAAATGTTCGAACGAACTTTCATTTTCTTTGCAAATTATTATAATATTTAATTTTTTTTTTTTAATTTTAATTGTCAAGATGATGAAGAAAAATGTTCTTTCAAGAAAAAAGAAAGATTCATGCGTTACCGGAAAAAAATAGTTTGCTTTTGCCTGGTCAAGATTACCTTTTCTTCATTATAAATATATATATATACCTAACACAGCATCTAGGACGCTTATGTATAAAGAAAGTGTACACGAACGACCTAAAATATGCTGCGGGGGAAAAACAAAAAGACGTATACTAAAAGGTTGCACGAACTCTTTTTGCAACGGAAACTTTACTCGACACGCCTAACTAAAGCTGTTTATAAACTTCCCTTTATGACTCTCGCGAACAGAAACGTTCACAATTACACTTTACATAATGCACTTTACTTGACTTTCAACCAAAAACCTTTCACTTTTTTTTTCTTTCTAAAATTAACCTCACTTGAGATTGTAAATTAGAAAACAAAAAAAGAAAATTCTACTAAATTTCGGGTCCACTCGTAAAAGATCAAACGAAGCGTGAAAAATAATTTTCAAGCTTCACAATTATATTTCAATTTTATTATAGAATATAAATATTTTTTTGGCACTTTTCAAGTTGAAGAGTAAATATAAAAGAAAATAAGAATAAAAATATAATTACATTTTTAATAATTATTAATTATAACTAGCAAAAATTCGCGTATGGATAACTTTTTGCTTATATTTTTAAATTAGCAATTTTAAAAATAATAGAGTTTAAAAATTTGTAATTCAAACTTTTTTTCATAAAATAAAATATGAATTGGAATATAGTTTTAATACTATTATAACTGTAATAATCATATATTCTGAGACAACGAATTCTGGGAAAAGTAGTCAGGTATTTTTATTAAAAATACTGGAAAAAATGTAACTCTTAGAATTCGTAAGAAATTTATGAATTTTGGTGTCTTTTTTGTTTTCCTCATAAACTATGAAATTACCACGAATTCTAATACAAAACCATCAAATTTTTCTATTTCTCACAATAATTTATTTTCTTAACTAAATTCTTGAAGAACTATCATAAAATTATTATTTAGAAATTATTTAATGAATAATTTTACTTAAATATTTTTAAATTAATTGCATTTTAAATGAGTTGCATTTACAATATTTATAAATAGATATCAACTTCAAAAAGTTTTAATTTGGAATTTTATAAAGTTTCAATTTTGAATGAATTTAGTTAGAAATTTTAAAGAACTTAAAATTTTGAAAAAATTTAAATAATTAAAATTCTTCTGAAATTAGATAAATTTTTAATATAGGTATATTTAATTAATTATTAAAAATAATTGATTTATAGAAGAATTTTAATTAAAAACACTAAAAAATTGAATTTCTTCTCCAAAATTTAATTATTTTTAAAATTGTTTCTCAGTTTAAAGATTTTTAATATCTACTATTTTTATAATAAGTTTTCCAAAAGAATTCAATTATTTAAAAGTTTCACAGGAATTCAATTAAAATTTTATTTTATAAATTTCTTCGCAATAATTCAATTATTTTCAAAAATTGTAAAATTTTACAGGGATTCAATTATTTTCATAAATAATAAAACTTTTTTCAGGAATTTAATTATTTTCAAAAATAATAAAACTCATCGCAGAAGTTCAATTATTTTTAATTCCTGTAATTTTAATCAAATTCCTCTAAAAATTTAGGTATAATTATTTTTAAAAATTTTATTAAAATTTGTCAAAAGAATTCAATTAATTCAATAAATTATTTATTTTTGTATTTAAATAACTGAATTCTCTTAGAATTTTAAGATAAAAATTGATTTAAAAATAAATTTCAATTAAAAGTTTATAGATTGTAATTGAATATTAATTGCATTAAGCGTGAATTTTTAGAAACAATTGAATTTTGAAATGGTTTCAAATTAAAATCTTTAAAACTTTGAATTGTTTATATTAAAATTTAGTAAAATTTATTCTGAAATTAATATGGGTACAATTTGTAAAAAATTCCAAACAATATGAATTTCTCTTAGAATTAAAAGTTATTATATATTTGTTATACCTTTTATGCCGAAATTTCTAATCTTTAAGTTTCTAAATACTCAAATTTTTCCAAAGTTTGCGAAAAGTAAACATTTTTTCTTTAAGTATGTATAAGTAAAAATTTTTCAAACATTTCATTATTTTCATAAATAATAAAAATTTCACGGGAATTCAAGTATTTACAAATTTTTTATAAGTTTCTTCTCAAAAATTCAATTATTTTCAGAAATAATAAAACTCATCGCAGAATTTTAATTATTTTTTTAATACAATTTTAATCGAATTCCTTGCAAAATGTAACTATTCTAAAATATTTTATTAAAATTTATCAAAAGAATTCAATTATTTGAAAATTTGTTAATAAAATTCTTTATAAGAATTAAATTTTAAGAAACATTCAATTATTCAATAAATAATTTACTTTTGTATTTAAATAATTGAATTCTTGTAGAAATTTCTATTAAAAATTGATTTGAAAATGAATTTTAGTTTTAATTTTAGATCATAATAGAATATAAAAATAATTTTTAAGAACTTACAGTAACAATATTCTTATAATATAAAATAATTATATATAAAATAATGAATTTAACACTCGATACTCATTAATTATTATATTATTATTATTTATTATTATTATATTGTTATTATTATTAATTATTATAAAACATGAAGAAATCGAGTCGTTGACTCGGAGTAATCGTTATCTTTATGTTTTATAACAATATTTTTAAATTTGATTAATATTTCAAAAAGGTTTGAATTTGAAATTTTTGAAAATCTTAATTCCAATGGAAAAATAATAATAATTAAATCTTTAAAATATTTTTTAAAAAAATTGTTGTTGTCGTATAATTTTACAATTAAAGATATTCGTAAATAAATTTAACAGAAAATTTTTTTTAATAAAATTTTTTCCTTTATTTTCTAAAAATTCAAAAATTTTCAGTGTCATTTTCAATTAAATTTTCTAATTGACAAATAGAATTCATGAACATTTTTTTCCTTTATTTTTAAAAAACTTTGAATTTTATTAAAACAATTGAAATTAAGAAATAGAATTAACGCAAACTATTTCCTTATGAATATTGACAAATTTTCTACAAAAACATTAAAAAAAGGGAATATATCTAATGTTTCTTTTGCCAAAAGAAAAAAAATGATTTAAAAATAAAAATTATGCATAGAATAGGAATATTTACTACTTTTTAATAAAAATAATAAAAATAATAAAAATAATAAAAATAATAATAATAATAATAATAATAATAAAAATACTAAAAATAATAATAATAATAATAATAATAATAATAATAATATAATAATGATGATAATAATATAATAACATGATTAATAATATTAATTAACTATATTGGATAAAAGAGATTTTTATATTTTTTGACTAATTATCAAAATGCTTAATTAATTCTCGGGCAACAATAGATGAATGAAGAGAGTGAGAAAGAGGGGAGAAGAGAAAGAGAGAGGTGAAATGGAAATTCTATATTCTATAATCGGGATTCATGTTACGTTACCTTATATTATCCTCATCGACGAAAAGAACAACAGCACGAGCATTTGGTTTAGAGCTGAGCCGATCCACAATCCTCTCGAAATCTTCGGTCTTTGCGTTTCTCAGGATCTTCTCACTGACAGCCACACAAATATTATATATGGCTGCAAGGGCGATAAAGCTGGCAATACCCTGAAAATGGTGATAACCCCAAAAAAGGGGGAGAAGATCAGACGTCATAAATTAATTAAAGTGAATAAAAGTAGACGGAAAAAAAAATTAGAATTTGTCACATTTTTTTATCGTTACAAAAATGAACAAACAAATATCGATACATACTTCGCTATTTATTTGTTCATTTAAAATGATTATTTTACCGCAAAAGAAAATTTCTCTATTTTTATTATTATTCTATTATATTATATATTATTTTTCATTCTATTTTATTGTTCATTAGAATTAGAATTTTTTTTAAAGAAAATATAATTTTTACGTTTAAAATACATTTTTATTTATTTATTTATTCGCTTTTTAACTGTCTGGAAGTTTTTTTTGTATGCACTTTAAAAAATTAATAAAAAACACTTTCAAAATTTTTTCAATGAAGGAAGATCCTTTTATTGGCAAATTCGCCCATGACTTTTCTATTTAACATGATGTAGCTTCTGAATTTTTCACAAGACCAAGAAAGTAAAGTAGTATCGTGTGAAAGTAATTTACAACCGCAATCTAAATTGAGGTGAGATAAAATTCTCTTCTATATAGGTCTTCAAAGCACACTTTTAATTTTAGATTTATCATTGTCAAAATTTTTACACATTATTCCGCTACGTGAATATTTTTTAATTATGCAAATAACAATCAATCATAATTTCCAAGACGTAAAAAAAAAATAAAAATAATTTTTCCTCGATTCAAAAAAACTTTATTAAAAATTTCCATTAAAAACGTAACGTTTTTTATAAATGATATGTTTTTTAATTTTGTAAATGTAAATTATTATCAAGATGGAGGGGATGAAAACTGATGACACGAGACAAAATTGGCTTTGAGTTTGATGCCAATTATTGGGTACGTTACTTCATCATCGCTTTTTAACGAACTTAAAGTGTCACGTGTTAATTAATGAATTTACGAGCCTCCAGCTTCCAAGTCTAGTACAAATATTTAAGTAATATCTATTACATACGCATGATTAGAATTTAAAAATTACAGTAGAACTTTTTTTTTATTTCCAATTAAAAATTTTTCCAATAAGAAAAAAAATATTAAATATATTTTTTGTTATTACAAAAAAATAGTTTTCTCTGAAAATTGATTTCATTTTTTTGTTATTACGTTATTGATATAGTTTTATTTTATTAATTTTGATCTATTTTTATTGTTTATTTTGTACTAGCAACAATTTTCGCGCGCTAAAGTGCGCGGCTAACTTTTTAGGGTAAACTGAGAAATTTTAAAAATAATAGAATTTTTAACATTTTTTACTTACTTTAATAAAATAAAATTAAAAAGTAAAAGGCAGAATTGTAAAAATAATTTTTTGAAACAATTAATAAAGCATTACTATGTCAAACTGTATTTAAATATTATTCTTCATTAAGTATTAATATTAATAATTAATATTGAAATGGATATTATAAATCTTTAAGTATTAATATTTATTTATGATTATTTTATTTCTGTCTATTATCATCGCTAGTTCTAAAAGAACTTTTTACAGAACCATTTATTATAAAAGAACTTTTTTTTAATTCATGGATTATTTAAACAATTATTTAAATATCATTATCATAATTTTTAATTTATTCTTTTGTTTTAAATTGAAAGGAGAAGATAATATCTAATATTACAATATGCCAATATAATACAAGTTCTCTGTAAATAATATTAAAATATTTCCTCCGCCATAAAGATAAAATAAAATAAATTTAATTCTATTCTTTACAATAGATAAATATTTTCCCTTCAATTCAAATAATAAATATTTTTCTTTAGAGAGATTTCTCTCTCTTGTGTTACTTTATTTTGTCAAAAAGAAAAGATATTTTTCCAAAGACAAAAAATATATTTAAAATATTTTTCTATATTTTTCGTAAAGGACGAATAAGATGCAAGAATAATTATAAAAATATATAAGTTTCTGTACGATGTTAAAAGAATTTTATTTTTTTTCTTTCTTTTTTTCTATGTAAAAATTATAAAGTATGTACTAATTTTTTATTTTAGTGGTGGAAAAAAGGCGCATTTTTGTATAATTATAGAAATTTCATGTGAATTGAGAAGGAAAACTAATGAGTACATTATTTAGTGACAATTTTGCTCCCTTATTTCTTTTTTTTTTTTTTTTTTTTGATGTCAATGCTTGAACCACATTTTTCTCTAGTCCCTTGCTGATATACGACCCACCATTGAGAATTAGATGTCCCTCTGCGATCTTTGTATTGTTCCTTTATCATGTTTTTTTTTGTTCTTCCAGAACACGCGCTATTCATCAACGAACAGAAATTTTCTACAAGACTTGATTCTTTTTTCGATTTTTAATAATTGCTTACTTGGTCTTTAATAATTAACAAGCATTTTTAAATTTAATAAATTCCCAGTCCCCTCGAATTTGTTTCCAAAAATTTCTCATCAATCATGAGTTCCAAAAAAATAGCAAGTAATAAAAATAGACTTTAGAAATAGATTTTAAAATTGAAAAATCTGAGTAATTTCTGGATCTTCATCACAATTTTTAACGAAATTAAAATCTTTTTTTTTAGAAATTATTAAAAAATTTCCATTATTTTTATTTCATAATTACAAGTCTTATACAAAATCAATTTTTTTATTTTAAAAAAGAAAACAAACGTAAATTTGAACCATTTATATTTGTTAATAATCGCAAATTGAAAAAAAAATATTCAGTTTTTTAGTAATAAATAACAAAAATTTACATGATTTCTATTTCTTCATCAAAATTTCTTATCAAGCTCTCAGATATTTTTAAAAATAAAAGAAAACATTTTTCATAAATTAATTCAAAATTTTTAATTGAAAAAAATTGTGGAATTAAAAACATTTTTATAAGATAATAAAAAAATTCGAGTAATTTCCGTTTTTTAATCACAATTTTTAAGGAAATTACATTTTTTTTAGAAATTAATGAGACATTTTTGTATACATAATTTCTATTTCATAATTTCGTTTTTTTGGAGAAAGAAGAAAAAATTAATCAATTTGGACCATTTAAAATTCTCCATCATAAGTTTTTAACAGAGCTTTATAACATAATGGGAAAAAATAATAATAATATTGAATTGGCAATTACATTGTTTTTACTAAATTTTTAATATTTTTTTTTGCATAAATTCGATTTGTCAATCACAATTTTTCTTTGATAATAAAATTGAGATTTTTAGTTTCTTTTGGAAAAAAGAAATTCGTAATTTCTCTTTTTTAATTGAAAATAAAATTGAGAATTTTAAAAGACTTTTATAACATGATGAGAAAAATTTTTCATTAATTAAACTTGTCAATCACAAATTTTAATTGTAAATAAAACTGAAAATTTGTATAACATTATTTTATTAAAGAATGAGGAAAATTGTTCATAATTTTTATTTGTCAATTACATTGTTTTTAGAAAAATTTTAGTTTTATTTATATTAGACTAGCAACAATTTGCGCGCTAAAGCGCGTGGCTAACTTCTTTCTTTTTAAAATAAAATAAGCAATTTTAGAAATAATCGAATTTGAAAATTTTTAATTCAATTTTTTGTTGAAAACACCAGAGGAAAACACTAAAAACATTAAATTTTGGAGAAATTACAAATAATTGCAGAAATTCAATTATTTTCGAAAAAAATTCAATTATCAAAATTTTAAAAAAATTCTCGTCAAAATCCCAATTAATTATCTTTAGAAATAATTGGATTCTTCTCCGAAATTCAATTATTTTCAAAAATTTTAATAAAATTCTTGTCAAAATTTCAATTATTTTCAAAAATTTTTCTCATTTCAATGATTTTCATTATCTACTATATTTAAATAAAATTTTCCAAAAAGAATTCAATTACTTGAAAAAATTTTAATAAAATTGTACCTACACAAACATTTAATTATTTTTATAAACAATAAAAATTTCACATGAATTCAATTATTTACAAAATTCTTTTACAAATTTCCTCGCAATGATTCAATTATTTTCATAAATATAAAAATTTTTCTTATGGAATTTCAATTATTTTTATAAAAAATAATTAAAAATTCCAGAAAATAATAATTGAATTGAAATGATGAAAATAATTTTGAAGAAATAGTTATTATTAACAATATTATTATAATATAAAATAAGGATTTTATAATTCGTAATTATTAATTATTATAAAACATGAAGATATCGATTGCTCCGAGTCGAAGACTTTTATAAGTTATTGATGTTGCAATTAAAGAAATTCGTAAATAAATGTTACAGATCATTTTTTGAAATAAAATTTTTTTCTTTATTTTCTAAAAATTTCAAATAATTTTTTAACAATTAACAATTTTATTCAATATTTTTATAAATAAAATAGAAGAAAATTTTCATAAATTAGATCAGTAAAAAAAAAATTGTTATAGAAGAAAGCATATAATAAATAAAATTTATTTGTTAATCATAATATTTAAAAAATTTTTTTATTGTTGTCTTGTTCTATATAATAAATTTAATATTTTTTAACTTTTGGCATTTTCTTTAGAACAGGAAAATGTATATAATATTTAATTAATTGAATTAAAATTGTCAGAATAGTAAATATATTTTGATGGTAAAAGACAAATAAATTTTCCGAAATTCTTTTGAATTTCTTTGAACATTTTTTCGGTTATTTAATTACAATTTCCATTTTCATTTTTTTTTCCTTCTTTTTTTTGTCATTTTGTTTTCTGCATTCCTACTATATTATAGTTCTGAAATAGAAAAAAATAAAATTCCATTCGATAGAAAAGAGTCAATTAAAATTGACTATCACGAAGGAAAAGAAAATTTTTTTTTTTTTGACGTCTTTTTCTATACAACACGGAATGTGAATCTGTTTCATCGATCATTAGCAAAAGCGTAGTTGAATATACGTTGTTTTGCAGATCGAATGCTAGAGGCAAAAAGAGTTTTTGAAAACGGACTCTACTCTCTCTCACTCACTCTTTTTTTTTCCTCTGACCATTAT